ATTTAAAAATATATATAGGATTTCCACATATTATATTATAGATATAATTTTCGACTTGAAAATGCACAAAATTGAAGTGGACAAAATGGAAATGTCGTCAAGATTCAGGAATGAAGTAGAGGATTTTATATAATGTTTAAGGGTTAAAAATTTTTTTTTTCCTCGATTTTATAAACTTTATACCATATTTTCAAGTATATCCACACCGAAAAAAAAACTAATATATAAACATATATATAAAATTATTTTATATTTAGTGTATTATAGTGTTCGTTTTACAATAATTATGTTGATTATGTTAATTATTACTCATAATTTTTATGCATGATATAAACTTCCGAGTCTTTTTTGAGGGGGAGAGGAGTTCATTGCTCCTCCAATCAGAATAAAAAGTATGCGCCTATCGTGTAAATTGTTTAGTTAATGTTCCAGTTCCATTCTGGTTTAGAAGGATCAGATTACTACACCAAGTTTCAATAACGTCGAAGTCAACATTTCTAATAACCAATCTTTGATTATTATTTTGTTCTATTTATTTTATTTTTTTGTACATATAGTGTGAATGTCATCCTACCTCACTATAACCAATGTCCAAGAGACAGATTGTTATAATACTCAATAAAGAAATAAAAAAATAATAAAAAATGACCTTATCCTTAAGGATAAGGTTGTGGCCTTAATATTATTAAATTTAGTGTTGACATTTAAAATTAGGTAATAATCATCACAATAATAATCTTTATTTAAATTCTTCAAAAAAAAAAAAAAAATACAAATTGGGGATTTCTCAGTGTGTTGAGGAGTGCGGAAAGAGTAGTAAAGAGGGAATAATTTTTTAATACATCTTTAAAAATTCACCTGTTTTCACATTTAAATATTCCCACAATGGGCAACCATTGTTTACCATGCATTTAACCTAATTCCGGACAAAAGATCAATGTTATGTTTGGAACAATAAGAGAGAAGTGAGTGTTTAAAGAGACTTTAGATCTCCCTCCTGAATAAGGGAATTATTTAAAGACTGCTCAAGAGTGGGTCGGGCTAATGCGGGCAAATATAGATCATTCATTTTATCGGTCTTTCTCACTAATGAGCTTCCTCTTTGTTTGTCTTCGTCTTTCCCCTGCCACACGCCATGAATAAAAAATGAAGGTTATATTTGTACTTGTGAATACAACATTGGATGTTTTCCTCCTTGCGGAAAAGAAGAATCTTCGGAAAAACTCAGATCAGGTATTTTATACGGTTTGTGATTCTTTGAATCTACTTACCCAATAAGAAGCTACTTTTCAATAAATAAAAAAATAAATTTAAATCGTTTCTATAAATTAAGGACACAAATAGACGAGCTTGTATTCTCAGGTACAAACAGTAAAAGTTTAAATTTTTAATGCTCAAAATAGCAAAATTATTACTGATGCTGGTATTGGTAAAGGTGTTGAGACTCATTAACGTGTTTTTTCTAATAACAGAAATACAATACCACAGTTGGTTATAAGTACTCTGTGTTACCAAACTTATCCGGCAAGTTAATCTATCAAGCCTTTCTGCCAACTCCCAAAATCATACCAATATCTCAAACATTTTGGTTCTTATATTAAAGTTCAAAAGTGATGGCCATTTGATAGATGAAGCCTTATGTTCTATAATTCGGCACCAAAAGACTGTATCAAACGCCAGGCAACAGGACAGTTTTTGGCGCTTGTATAGAGTTCAGTTCCCGCAAATCATTAAATATCTTTTAAATCTGCCTCGACCTGAACGTACTCCAAGAATTAATCGGATTTCACTTATGATTAGTAGCCATTTATTTCTTTATTAAGACGCATTTTTATTTAAAATGTTTGCTTGTCTGAGTCCAATACATTCTATTGCCTATCTAATATGTTCCTGCTCTTTCCCACATCCAACAAGCTGCTTAAAAGCTGGGTTGGTTTTGTACCTCCTGGAAATAAATACGTGTTATTAGTGTAAATTAACCCTTTTATCTCATTTCAGACTCTTCAAGTATTATTCAATTTTGTTTAATGAAGTTAAAATTGGAGTAAATTAAATTCCGTCGAATTACTTTTACCAGGATAATCTTCTTCTTCTTCTTCTTCTTTTTCTTGCTTCTTAAGGCCTATCAGAATGGAGGGGCCTACACTCATTTACGCCAGCCATCCCGGTATCTCATATGACACAACTGTTCGCCTCTTTTCTGTCCGAGCTTGGTTATTTCGTCAACCCAAGTTTTCCTTGGACGTCTTTTTGGCCTTTTTTCTGTGGGTCTTGCCTCAAAAAATTTCCTGGGTTCCCTGTTCTCGTCCACTTTCATAACATGACCAAACCATTTGAGCTTTTTCTTTTCCACGGTTTCCAGCATTGGTGGCATCTTAAAATTTTCTCTAATCCGTATCGGATTCAATCTCTTCTAGTTCGGCCAGCTACTCTTCTCAGATATTTTATTTCGACTTTTATATCTAAAAATAACCTGAATCTTGTGTTGGAAATTGTCAAAACCATCCTAAGGTGATATGATGTTAAGCACTCTGAAGTTAGAATTAAAAAAAGTTTTGAAACATCCGATTAACGTTGTGGTCGATAAATGAACCTTAACATTTCTGAGCCAATCCTTGAGGGACTAACCTCACGGATTGGCTCAGAAATGCTTCAAACTGGTCCTCCGCTGCCACGCAACTCTTCTAAAAGGATTTTCATAAACATTTTATGAGCAAGAAATTATGAACCTGCTAAAGCTACAGGCAGCTGAAAAGCGGTGTGAAACTTTAATGAAGGGGCTGATAATACAAACCTACAGTGGGAAAGATGGCGCGTGCTTCCGCCATGATGACGGAATACGATATCCTTCAAAGAACTTTGCAAAGGATTGGAAGTTCTTTACGTCCCCTGCCACGCTCTCTCTAACATCCTCCATAATGAAGGCAACAAGGCTGATAGCAATGGAAGCCATAATATCAAATTGAACAGAACTATAATGTAAACATTATATAGGGATTAATAAGAGTTAAACGGCCTATCTGGTAACAGTTTAGGCGCACATTAAAACCAAATAACTAAAAATAAAAAAAAAATCTTTATTCTACGTCGTAAACACTTTTCCAGCTACCGTATTCGTTGTTGGTTGTAATGGCCATTGATTCCATACATTACCTAAGACTTCATTTGGATCAATGGATCTGGAATTCTCATAAAGGAAGTTATTTTATCATTTTATTAGAATAAATATTGTAGTTTCCTATTCATAACAGAACGAGTTGTTAATAATCAAATTCTTGCTGCATTTTTCCATTAGAAATCTAGCATCCAACATAAAATCATTCATGCTTATTATGTAACTAACAAAACCATAATGAACAGAATTCTTCAGTTTTAGTCCAAATCATTTAACTATCAATAATTTCTTGAATAAAATATTTTTAATCCTTTTTTGTTCCAAATCTATTCCCAAGAATCCTCCTAAGTTTTTTCAAACAGAACAAGTCCTCCAGACCTTCTTACATGTAATTATTGGAGTACTATCTACGGGTAGTTTATTTATAAGGCAATTTCATTTCATCTTTTCAAGCAAATTTTTTTTTCTACCATTACAAAATTCATCATTTCAACTAGATTTTTTAATATTACTGAATCATAAAGCTTAAGTTAATTACAATGTAAAATAATGTAATTACAAGACCAGATTTAACGATCCACGTCAACAATCTTCGTATGGACGCGAAACTTCCAATGTCATCAAGCAGATGACCAATAAGCTATAGACAATCGTTAATAGACATCTGTGGAACATATTGCGCTTGTGACGGTCAGAAACAATTTCCATTACTGAAATTCAGGTTGTAAACTAATCTATCCTTGTTAGATAAGGTTATTAAATGTTGTAAAAAGAGATGACTGGGAATCACTCTTAGAAGGGCCATATCGACATAACCAGACAGAGCCTAAAGTCGAATTGCCGAGGTTCATATTCAAGATCTTGATAAATTTTTTCTTGCACATAAAAGTTATTATAATTTGTGAAGGTTTTTTGTCATTTATCTGATACATTTTATTTCATTTTTTATGATACATCTAAATTACTTTTATTCTGTTGTTTTTTTTTTCCTAATATCGGTGTTTTGAGGTTTTCATTTTCCCTAATTGAAGGCATATTCTACTAATATTATATTTTTTTTTATGCTGCTGTTCTTGGGAACGTTTAGGCCATAAAATAATTTCCGTTTCAGGGTCTGGAAATTTTGTTTTCATTAGATTACAATTCAATTACTTCTACAATTACAACATTAATTTTCTTTTACATACCTTGTTAAATTACTGCTTATTTCATACATTATGCTATGCATCGATACTTTGAAAGGATCGTGTCGACATAACCAGGCAGAGTTTATAGTGGAATACCCCAGAATGGATCAGGATCTTGACAATATTTTTCTTGCATATAACATTACTTGTGATTTCTGATGATTATTGTCATTTTGCAAATACATTTTCTTTTTCTTTCTTTTTTATACATCTAAATTACTTTATTGTAGAAGAAGAATATTTATTGATAAGATCATTTAACATATAAGTTTATTATTTGCTTATTAAATACTTGATGGTTGACCGTTTGGGGTAGCGGTCATAAAAAACTGAAATAGTAAAAAAACTATTTTATTGAAAGCCAACGTTTCGACCCGACTTTGTGGGTCTTCGTCAGGATTGAAACTGAGTTTCAACCGAATTCAAAAAAAAGTACCTATAGTACTGTAAATAGGAATTAATTCGGATTCGATCGAACTAACAAGGTTTTAAAGAAGATTAAATCCTCTCTGACACATCAATCGATCCTGGACGTTTTCTGGATCAGAAACTTGATTATTGAGCTTCATTCGAAAAAATATTGCTCATTCGGATATCATCTGGTTTCTCATCTTCAAAACTTTGTTACATTTACGAATTAAAGATAGATTTATTTTTTTTTTAATTTACCTTTTTAAAAATACGAGATAACAGTCTGAGCTACAGTTGTTTGATTTCATTATTGACATACATTATTCAAAACACGAGAATCACGACAAGAATAAATTTTAAAATAGTTCTCATATTCAAAGAATGCCGATGAAAGAATATCAAGACAAAACATGGTATAGATCCATTTACAAATGCGACTACAACTGGCCTACAGTTTATACAAAAACAGTACCGTAAGTAATATAATAATAAATACAAGTCAAATGTTATATTATTGTTTTTTATATCGTTTAATTTATTTTATTTTATTATTAATGTTTACCTGCCAGAAGTTTGTTGACAATGTGGAATTAGTCAGACTAGATATAACAAATAATGATCAATTAGGCATGTAGGAAAGCACTGCCCACCAGCACCTGGTTGATTCAAACCAACGAGAATTAGGAAAAGTTCTCTCTTCGTTCACGCATTGTACGGGAAGTCAAACTTAACAAACATCTTTACGTGTTAGTGAACTGTTCATAGATGTAAGTAGAGCTATGTCAGTCAGTTATTTTAGTAATCTGTATAGAATTTTGCAGGATTTATAAGTGGATCTTTGGATACACATATTCATATATACATATACATAAATAAATGGATATACATAAATCTATGATGACTACGTATGTATGTAATTTGTTTCGATATTTTATGATTTGTTTAAAGATTCCATTTAGGAAAAAAATCAAAACTTACTATTGAAAAAAATTATTTATTATAAATTTACATGAACTACTTATACACATTGCACCTAAAGTGAATATCTAAAATTTATTGAGTAAAGAGGCGGTCCGGAATGTCGGTCATTAACAAAAAGAAAAAGAAAAAAATGGAACCTTTCTTTAAGCTGACGTTTCGATCCAACGATGCAGTTCCTCGAAAAGTTGACCTAATAAAATAGATTCCACCACAAACTTTTCCCCACCCCTTTGGGAAACGGCTCTGCTGCGAGTAACAAAATCCTACAGGACTATTACTCAGGAAGCGATGCAGGTTTTAGCAGGAGGAATAACCTCTCGACCTTCTCCTGCAAGAGGACAAGCTTAACTATAGTCTTAAGAAAGAAGGCTCAGCAAGACTTAAGGAAAATCTCCAAGAAAGGATTGCGGCAGATTTATCTAAATGACAAAGAATAATACGGTAGGACACCATTGAGCAGTGGAATGGTGAGTAACTATTCATAAAGGCTCTACCTTCAGGAAATACTTTCCTACCTTCTATTCAAGGTTGAAAGAGCTGATTATTGGCTGCCGCAATTCCTGACAGAACATGCAGGTTTTCGCGACTAGCTTCATGACTTCGGGGAAGAAATTAACCTCCTATGTCCTGTTGTGGTGATCTAGAAACTGCTGAGCATATCGTCACGACTTGAACAGCTTTTGAAGCAATAACGGCCAAACTACTGGCGGGAAATCGGACTCTGCATCATCACGGAGGATAATTTCCTTCAGCTAGTAAGTAAGAATAACTACCTGTCCTACGAAGCATTCGTGTATGGGTGCAAGGAAATAGTCGGGGATGATCACTTCAGTCTCCGCTAACAAAGACCGAAGAACCAGAAGAAAGGTTTAACAAAAATCTATATTGCCGATAGGCAAGGAAAGAAAACAATAAAATAAATACGGAGTAGAATCACTCCAGACTAATAAATATACTACCGTCAACAATTGAGTATTCAGTCTATTTTTTTTTCAGGTTTGAAGTTCTTCTCTCCAATTTTAAATATTCTTAAATTTAGTATCCTCTGGTTCTTTCTTGTTATCCCTTGCCTTATTTTAATGGAAAAAAAAAACTTGCACCACTACAATCCATGAAGGATCTTAGGTTCAGTACTATTTAGAGAAAGCACTGTTACAAGGCCAGCGGTTGTGCAGGGAAGAATTAGTGCCAGGATCACGATCAACCATCCTTCAATCAATTATTTAATTAATAGTACCCACTTTGTAGAGGCTAGGTGTGAGTAAAATATGATGAATGAGAGATCTTTCTTTAATTCTCGAAAGTTCTGAATCAACTAGATGCTGCTGGGTTGTGAGTGCTTTTCCCCAATCCCCAACATGCCATTATTTTAGAACAGAATAGAATAGAAATTTGAATTTTATTCTGGGACTAAGTCACCTTAAAATAACAATGATGAATTAATACAAAATAAAATACAAATCTGGCCAAGAACTAACTTATAAAAATTCTAACATTATATACATTATTTTAAAAAATTAGTATGCAAACACTAAAAAATAAACAAAAAAAAAAAATATATATACATATATATATACATATATATAAATGAATATAAAATCTTCTCAAAATTACTTATTATTGTGATGAAAAAAAAATAAGAAATTTATATTTCTCATATCTAGTCACATATAAGAAGATGCATGATTTCAACAAACTCTTGACAGGTGAAAATTAATATTTTAAGATGAATATAAAATAAATTTAATCCACGGCAAACGAAGGATGTTAACTATTGATTTTTATATTTTATCCCAATTGATATTTATTTTATTTCGGCTGTAATAAAGTCGTAAAGAAAGCTTTTCTCAGCAAGCTTCTGAAAACTAAACATTTGGAAAATTTTAGCTGTCCATTTATTGGCGAAAGAAAGGGAAATTGAGTTGTAAGAAAGCTAGTTGTCAGGGCCTTCTAGATACTGAACATTTTTCACTGTATTAATAAAGTCTTGAGGAAAGTTTTCAAAGTCAATGAGATAACGCTGATAAATGGTGAAATATTTATTATGGTCGGAGAGGGTTGGTTGACAGGTCTCTATTTCATCCTGTACAAAACATTTTATTTTCACTGGCATTTTTCTTTTAATTTGAGCTCTTTTTTTTTTAACGATATCAGTTTATATTCAATATTCTCGACCCCTTTTTGTTTTTTTTAATATTTTGTATCTCTTTTAAGATTTTAAAGTCTTCCACTTGGTAATATTCGTTGACGAGCAATATTTAAATATTAAATATTATAAATATAATAAATATTTAATATTTAATACTATAAATTTAATATAATAATACTATAAATCATTTCACCGAAATCATCAGCAATCATGGAATCATCAGGAAATCATCGTAATCATTTTCAGCTGTTTTCTTTTCTACTGAAGTAGCTAAAGTTGTAAATAAATTTCTTCACTGAGCTCTTTCTAATTTGGCAGTTTTCAATTCTTTAGCACTTCTTAATTTTCCACACACAAGAGATTACACTATTTAATATTAGGAAATTACTTCAGGAAACAAATGAGGCTTTGTTACCTATTTGGCAGTTTTCAACTCATTATCCTTAATTTCCCACACAAGGGATGCTACTATGTGATGTCAGGAAATCACCTAAGGAAACAAATGAGGCTTAGATGATAAACTTTTACACAATCTACACACAAAACACCTTTATTCCTCTACATTGTTTACAAGCTACAGTGCTGCCAGATAGCATGCATTAACTCTATAAATACACTTTGAAAATTTTAATATAAAACATATCTATATGTATTTTAAACTTATATTAAAACATATAAGTTATAGCTTTAATGTTAGTGATCAACACATTGTAATCGCTTAAAGATAAGATGAAATATTAAAACCAGAATTATAAGTACTGGTACTGATACTGGTACTGGTGAGGGGATATAGTACGGCCCAATAGTGATCCTTTTGCCAACCCCTGACGGCAAACTTGAGGTTGCTGTCACGTACTTACCAGAGTGGGAACGTCACGATTCATTTCTCAAGGCCACCGAGAAATGAAAAGTAACCGACCCAGGTGGGAATCGAACCACGACGTTCAGAACCGTTAACACCCACGCCCCTACGTTCTCGGTCATCCCGTTTTCAGAATTATAAGTATAATAATACATCTAAATTCTTGTGTCTATCAATGAACATGTTTCGTTCTGAAATCGTTATTTCATTTATATATCTTATGTTGGCAAACTATTGGTTACAGTTGATTTGATCGTTTGGCATAGTACTTTTGTTCAGTAATGTCAATTGATAGGTATTACTAATAGAAGTATGTCCAACTGAGTTCATCTCAGAGAATTAAATATTTCCCTTACTGTTGAAATCTGATCGTTCATCATAACATAACGAAACTTAAATTTTCGGCAATTGTTTGCTATGAATTTAAGCTACAATAATAAGAAAAAAATAAAATGAGAAATAGCATTATCTGTTTGAGTGATTGCCATTCGTTAATTCCAACTATTTACAATCTTCTTTTTTTTCCACCTTTGATCCCAAACTCAACCTCAGCACATCCCAAATTCACCCACCCCATGTTTACTTTTAGTGATTCGATTACTTATTGTTGAACACCCCTCGCCTATATCAAATGCCATACAGATTTAAGTAAATTAAGCACTGGATGTAATTCTGACATGGATTTCTCATTTTATTGTTCTTTCTTAAAAAAAGATATTTGCAAAGATCATCTCATTCACTGGTTGTCATCACAATGACAGGTGTGAATAAAAAATATCTGGCAAACGTTTAGCTAATAATCAAGGCTTTAATAAATTAAAAACTAATTTTGAATTTTGAACGAGCTTATCTTTTGGGTTAAAAAAAAAAAAATTAAACATGTATATATGTGTGTGTGTGTGTGTGTGTGTGTGTATCGGAAATGGTACATATGCAAAATACCAGTTTTAGATTTGTAAACCTTTCATTCGCAAAATGTGCGTCAGATTTCTCTGCACAGCCCTTTTCCTCCCTTATATTGCTAAATGACGTATATTTGTTTACCTTTTTATTATTATTTTTTTTTATTACGGAAATGGTCATTAAGCCTAGCCCTCAATAATGAATTCTGTAATTAGTGATATTGTTCAATAAACTACGACATACCGTAATCATTGATCGTCGTAGATCCATTTTATATGTCCCATAAATATTATAGCAACGTAATCAACTCGTGTCAAGCACTCAGAACAGGATTACTAACTGATGAGGTTACATTATTTATCAAATTGAGTTCATTTTAAGAACCCTTAAAACTTCACTACTATTGGTTGAGTAATTTTAAAAAGATATTTAAAGAACCATTTGCACATTGCTGACATTTGCAGGAATATCTACGCTGATATAGAATGATCTCCCACTGTATTTTATGATTATTAAACAATATATAATGCAGCAGTAGATGTTTTTTTTATTACTGTCAGTATCAATGGATTTTGATGAATGAAGTATCAAACGAAAGAGAATTTTATTGAGAAGTGACGAATCCAAATTCCGAATCTTAAAAGCCATGTATAATTACAATAAACTTGATTGAAATTGAACGTGACAATAAAAATTTAGAGGTTTCAAATTAACTTGTCAATACATAAGTCCTAAAAGTTAAGTAGTTCATTTCTGCAATAGGTTTTTTTTTAAATTGAAACATATTTTTATTTTAATAATTTTTTCGTGATAAAATTAAACATAAGATAAAACCCAAATTTAAGCAGTTTTATAGAAAACGTTTAAGCTGTTTGGTAAAATTTATTGAGCTTTGAAATTTGTGACGACAAGAAACATAATTTAGGAAAACATCCTAAGTTATCATGAACCAGTTAAAAAACATTTGTATTAAAAAAATATTAATAATAAAAATATTTTAAATGATTTAAATATCTTTGATTTTTTTCAGAGAAGTTATAGTTACAAATTTTCCTGAGCATTGCAAAGACCTATCACCAAAAGTCCCCTGCGAATGTGCTGCTCATTTCTGTATTTGCAAGCAGAAGAGATACACCAAAGAAGATCCTGCTCCAAATCTTTCACTTGAAGTATTTTTTATTTCGCACATCTAGGACATTCTCATTATTCATATATTTATTTTATTTAGTAAGAATCAGTTAGTTGTTAGTTAAATATTTTTCGAGTGAGAGCTGGTTGTGTTTGCATCTTTGGTTCCCCAGTATTTTTAACGTAAGCATTAACATATGCGTAAATATAGATATTTCCAATTCTCTTATTGTTTCGTTTGATAACCATGAACAAGTGTATGTCCAAATTTATCATAACTAATATACAAAAGATAAATGATTTATTTGTATTTAACGATTTTTTTTTAAATAATCTAAAATAAGTAAGAATTCGAATTATTGAATCGAATATATCTTTAAGCAAACATGCCTAAAATGAAAAATGGTGAAAAATTATTCCCAAGTTTCACTTTTCAGGTTTTATTTCGTGAAGGAATGATCGGTTTTCACCGTTCCAGCAATTTTCTGACTGAGCAACAGTAAATAAACGCAAGTGTTAACAATTTTTCCGAATTTTCCTTTTTTTATCTCGTGAATGAGTCACCGTTCGTGAATCAGTTATTCATCGTTCAAAAAGTTTTCATATTGTTTAGAGATATGGAAAATGTGGAAGTATTGTTAAAAGAGTACTGAATTTTCATTTACTTTTATTCTTTTGTCTCGTGATTGGATGATCCGTTTTTTTTTTTTTTTGTTTGTTTTTTCACAAACATTTCGATTGTTTAAAGATATCTATCGTCTAAACAATTTTTGGATTGTAAAGAGGTAGGAAAAATAGGAAAATTGTTTAAAAAAAAAATCTGAATTCTCATAAACTTTTCTTCTTTTACCTCATGAACACAGCGAAATCGGCGAATCAGTGTAAATATTTTTTGAATTTTCATTCGCTTTTCCTCTTTTATTCAGTGGATGGTCGTTTTTTTACCGAATAATAATTATTTATTTTAGTGATCTCAGATAAATAAATTATTAATATATGTTTTATTTTTCAATTATAGCACTATAATTATATATAATTTAAATATAATTTAGGCAAGGTTTCAAGAAAAATATAAACATTTTATTCCAAAGAATATTATTTCTCCTGTAATAACCGTTGTTGAAAGAAAAAAATAATTATAATTTGGTAGCACAAATCAAGCAAATTTATAAATTTGTAAGTAATAATTTCCACAAAAATTATAATTTTCAATTACGTTTTCACGTTATTGGATCGCTTGTTCTTATCGCTCCACGCTTAGAAGAACTTTCCTAATCAGTCGAACTCGTCCCCTGTTTGATACAAGTCTTCTGATTACACCGAGTCCTGGGGACTTCTGAGGGGTCGGCAAACTTTTAACGGCACAAATGAAAAAGATTACAAAGAAATATTTCATTGTTTCGTATAAAATTATCAAACTTTTCTCCTCCCCTCCCCTTCCCCCCAGTCTCGAACAAGAGTGGTGAAAATTATAGAAAACTTCCGGAAGGTAATGGAAACCTTGCAAAAAGGCTAAGGTCGTTAACTGATTAAAATCAAATCAGGAGGTTTTATTGGTTCAGTAAGAAAATGAATTTATTGATGTATGATAATAATATAATTTTAAAAATATATATGTATTATGAATTTTTACATTAATAGCAATAGTAATCAAATTTTAAGTCCGCTGTCGTAAAGTAGATACAACTGTTTTGAGAAAACACTGATTAAATTTGCAAAGGTAAATGATAAAAAAAAATTTCAGAAGATCTAATATGGCCGCTGTACTGATGCATTCACGGTAAACATACACGAGCAGGACGTATTATCTCTGGACAGCGGCCGTATTAGGCCTCCTGAAAATTGACCTTAGTAGAGAGAGAATCACTTTATTATCATAAAATAAAATAAAATGGTGCTGCCCAATTACATTGGGTTGCTAACAACACAGCATACTTATTAATCACTACAGACATTATTTAAAATTATTATACAATTATAGGATTAACAATATGTATGAGCATAGTATACAATATTTTATACGTATATATATATATATATATTATTTTTTTTTTCCTTTTTTTTTTTTTATAATTTTTACTATTTCTTTCATTCATTTATTATCATTCTGTACCCTTTCTCTTCCTTCTCTCCCCCTATACATGTTCCCACTCACATTCTCTCCTCTCTCTTTCTAACCTAATACATAAAAAATTCATAAAGTACAGTGGACGTGTTCAATAAATAATAATATAAAAAATGCTGTAACACACGCATGCCTCCCCCCGCGAGCAAACTCTCCCCCTATCCGCTCCCATGCACATGGTGGTGGATGATTCCCAGGGAGTCGAGGATTATACTCTCTGCCAACCTTGCCACGTCCTTTATGTCGACACCAAGGCCCTCCATGAAGCTCCTTGTTGAGTCTGGTATCGTTCCGCGAGCTCCGAACCAAAGGCCTCTCACGTGGAACTCTCTCGGCCCGAAACTCTCGCGGAACTTTTCACTAAGGAAAGGGATGCATTTCTCATATATCTGTTTTTTCTCCCTTTCCACTTTTTCTGCCTGATCGAGGTCGTTGGTCTCATATCTCACGGTCGGATCCAAAATCATCGCCGACTTTCCCGTCTTAGGGAATGCTACAATGTCGGCATATCGGGTGGATCCATCCGTATCTATACAATATACTTCCTCGAAACAGGCGTATTCTCTCTCTTCAAGGAGCCTCATCAGTTCATGCTTGACTCTGTGGTGACGGCGTGTTATAAGGAGGGAGTTGTTGGGGCATTTTCCAAGCACATGTGCTGGTGTTTCTGGCTCTCTGTCGCATTTGCGACAGAGGGACCCAACTTCTCTTACCTGTCCGCTGACACCTGGGACTCCACGCAGGGGAGCATAATTAATATTTAGTTTCAGGGCATTTGACCATTCAGACCCAGAAAGTACTTGCTTATCATACATGTATTTATTGGCTTTCGGGGTCTCTTTAAAATGGCGAACTCCAATGCCCTGCCACCTGCAATTGGTCCATTCCTCAAACGAATTTTCTCGAAGCGACTGCCGTAGAGCTCTCATATTCCGAATACCCCGATCAACCCCCAATCTCTCGGCACATTCATCAACCTCAGCCGAATAATCAAAGATCGACCGAAAAAGGGCATCGGGCACATTGGACAGTCGCTGAGCAATGGACCAATGTTGTAGAGGAGCCTCCCATTGGCAGCGGATTAATCCTAATCCTCGATACCTCCTGGGAGAGTACAACATCGCCGTGGAGGTGTTCGCAGGGAGTCCAACAATAGCCTTCACACTCCTGCGAATCATGGTGTCGATGCCGTCAAGTACGGCAGGACGCAGCTTTGTGAGGGGCGCAGTTTGGAGAGGGTAAGTAAGACCCGGGAACAGATATTGGTTGACAATGTTTAGCTTCTGCTCCGGCTTCAGCAAGGGAGAGGTTACCAGTTTATTCAGGTTTTCGTTCAATTTGGTCACCGAATCTTCGTTGAACTGTAGCTCTCCCGAGAATGTACATCCTAAATACTTGATTGTATCTCCATTCTGCATTGTTTGGATGTACTCTCCGTTCTCAAGGGAGAGCATCGCGGTTTCCAGCTCTCCTTTATTTAGAACGATGCCCACGCTTTTTTGAGGATTAATAGCCAAACCAATTCCCTCAAATGTCCTCTGAACGCTGCCGATCACTCTTTCTGCAGCCCCCTTGTCACGCGCTGACACGGCCTGGTCATCCGCGAAACCTGTGAGGACCACACAACCTTGGTCACTTTTTAACTTGTATCCAAATTTTTTGGAAAATTCTTCATCGCACAGGTCGCGATAGAGATGGTCAATGGCCAGGTTGAAGAGCGACGACGACAAGGGGCCGCCTTGGGGTACCCCGCGCAGCACTTTGATTTGGCTAGTTGCGTGAACACCGTTACTAATTTTGATTGTGTTCGTGCAGAGGAGAGCCGATATAACGTGTTGAAGATCCGGCGACACACCTCTTGCTTCCAAGGAGCTCACGATATGATTGTGGCCAACATTGTCAAAAGCACCGACAACGTCAAGGAATACCACCGCACAATCTTTTTTCATAATCTTTGCATCTTTCAATACAGCGTCGATAATCCTTGCGTTGACGTGCGTTCCCGGGAGGCCTTTTATAAAGCCTCTCTGATTCCTGTGGAAGGTGACCTGTTTTCTTAATTCGTGGTCCAGAACCTTCTCTATGATTCGGCGCACAATAGAATAAATGGTGATGGGTCTCCAGGAAGGGATTTTGTTTACATCACCTTTCCCCTTATATATTAGTATTGTGCGCCCTTGTCGAAGTGGTTCTGGGACATAGGCCACCTTCAGCATTATCTCCGCAATTGTTCTAATAATATTTGCAACATCAAAATATTTAATCGTGCGGATCAGAACTCCATCAGGCCCCGGCGATGTGTCCATTGATGTTGATTTAATGGCTTTCTTGACGGCTTTGATTTTGATCCATTGATGATTGATGTTGATTTAATGGCTTTGAAATAACTTTTTTCTTAAACAATTTTTATCTATTTTACCATGGTTTATTCATAATTGTATTATCTTGACCAGTTCTTGAGCGATTCCTTCTTATTACATAAAAACGTAATCACACAAAATTGGTCAACTTTTTTTCGGCCCATGAATCAAATGAACTTTTTGGTTGAAAATTATTTCTTGAATTACTCTCTCTATCCCCCTTTAGTAAATTTATCCGAATATGGATATTAATTTATAATTTATTTTGTGGTTGTTTTCAATTTTACTTCATTATTATTTCGCTTTCAATAATTTCTGATTATTAAACTGATCCTAAAATATTTACATTTAATTTTATGCTATAAATTTTTAGTATTTTTTAATAATTATACTAGAATATTACTAACATTAATATTCTACGTTCTCAGTATGATCTGGAAGCTCAGAAGTATCTCCAAGGAGTCAAATCTGTATACCGAGACGACTTTTCACCAGGTACAAAGTAATTCAAAATTCTAGGCTACATAAAATAGTCCGTTTTATGTTATCGGAAAAATTCCTAAACCCAGCGCTAATTTCATCGATGAATCCCATCAATCGTTTGAACCCCGCAGCGATGGACTGCGATTTATGCTGATCCTAGTAATCGTCTGATGGATTTTACACTCCTGAAAGGTTAAAAAAAAAACATGAAAAATAAAAAAAAATATATAACTCAATACTTACCTTCTAAATTGATGAATATAAAAACATAAATAAACATAGATATAAATTAATCTAAACATGGGTATGTGAAGCAAATTGAGAACTAACAACACTGAGATTATATAAATAGACCTCCAAAAATCAATTTAAACCGCTCGGCCATCAGAGATTCAATCAATGAATAAAGGAACACACCATTGTTTTTCGATGTCATCAATAGGCTCAGCGCTGAGTTGAGGATCATCCCCATCGCCTGCATAACTATACTCAATTAAAATATTTAATTTATTTTAAATGAAATAAAATTTCTTCATATTTATTATGTTATCATAAAATCTCTCTGCCGTGTTCATTCACATTTTTCTTTTATTTTTTTTTCCTTTTAACAGTTCCAAATGTGTAATTTATGACTTGTACAATCGGCTTAAAAAATAGGGAGTGATTTTTTTTTTTTTTAAATAAGTATTTATTTTCAGGTTCATCAAGATCAAAATCAAATCATATCAACATTTTTATCTGGAATGTTTAAAAATAATTTTATGATTTTTTTTATGAATTTTTATTTTTGATCATAAGTAATAAAAATCATATCCTGATTATTATTTTTGATAAAAATGTTTGAAATCAACAATATTATTCATTTTTGAGTAATACTTTTGTCAAAAATCTGTGTCAGACTTTTTTAAATTTTGTGTATAATTTCTATGATATATTTTGAGTCTGGATTAGTAGGTGAAAATGGTTGTTATCAACTATTAGCAACAGAACGTCATTATTCCCGAAATTCATTAGAAAATGTGACTTAAAGTGCACAATTACAAAAATATAAAATTAAAAAATGTTTACATTAATAACGTGTGCATACATATTAATATTTTATTCAATTTGCATGTAAAATGTGATCTTTATTTTGTGATCTATTTTTTTTTCTTTTTTATCAAAATTTAATCATTATTATTTATTCAATGACCTTCATATCCCATTGGTTATTGACCTAATCCCAGACAAATTTTCCAAATTTCACCATAAACTCACTCATCATCCAAATCCTGTAGCACAATCCCCATCTAGCTCCAGCCATCCCTATAATCCTCCCTGGAGGTTAAAACGGCAATGGCCCCGCGACCTTTTGTAAATATGAATATATAGGAGTACTGGCAATGGCATTTTATTTATAAATCAGTCATGATTTTAAATAAAAAATCAAATATAATCATTTCATAATTTTGTGTAAGAAATAATTATTGATTTCGAACCCCGGTTATTTTAATATATCAGCCTTTCTTTCACTTTTAAGCTTATGATAATTCTTCGGTTCTCAGAGAGATTAATATCAAAATTATTCGTTTTGAAAATTTGACGTACACAATAACATAGAACCTGAGATACGTTATTTGTGGAATATATTGATGAAATATCTATATTTCATAGAAATCAATTTTCCAGAGGGTTCAAGGGAAGAAGATCAAGAAATTCTTCCAACAGATGTGTGCCCCAAGCTGAATACTCCGTACACGAGAATCTGGAACCCGTACCTTGTACCCAAAGACGCATTCCGCCCTGGACAACCAAGACCTTTGGGGTGTCCTCTCACCATTGAATCAGTGACTAAACCTGTCGATTATACAAAAACAAGTGAGTTATTCAATCAATTATTGCAAACTTCCTCAAAAATGTCGTAAATTAAATATTGATTAATGAAGAGTACATTCCTTACAGAGGCTGTGTGTGAGGCAGGAGGGTCTCTTAACCTCAGAATCGATGGATATTTAACAGAATAGAAAGTTAAGTGAATATAAAAAAATCTAGTGCTGCGCGCGCTTTACACAACTTTCACTTGCCAACCTTAGAGTAGATTGCTATATTCTTGTAGGAAGTAGAATTAAAACGACGGTATAACTTCATTTAAAACAATTAATTATCGTGTTTTTTCCCGCCCATCGACTTAATTAACATTTAAATCACTTTCCATTTCCTTTTACGACTATGTAAAGTATCAAACAATACTAATGATTGTGGAGAAAATGGATCTTTTGGAAAAATCGTGAGTTTTATCTGAAACATTTATCACGAAACTCTTCAAAAAAATAAACTTCACGTTAGTAAATATTACATATTTTAGATTTATATTAGTAAATCCTCAACATTTCGCACAAAAACCTTCTTTAAAAAAATTATGGATAAGTGATACATAAAAGTTAAAATAACAGTCTGAACGCGTATCAGAGGCGTATCAGGTATCTGTAAAGGGATAGGATTGCCATAGATCAGGAGTTCTCGGCTAAACAGGCGAGATTCCTACATTGTATATACCGTGTAGCTTCCTATCCTTATTTTCCTTTTAGTTACCAATCAATTTTCTTCATTCAGTTTATTTAACTTATTATAGCAAGTTCAAACGTGACACATTTGGCCCTAGCCTCTCTCTTCGCCAGATCTAGCACCGAGCACTATCTACCTATTCCAGTCTCTGCAGAACTTGAATCGAAATCAATTCCAAAATGAACAAGACATCAAAAATCACTTATATAGTATTTCGGCAAAAAAAAACAAAAAAAAACCCAGATTTTCTATGAAGATGGCATTATGCAGTTAGTGGAAAGATGGGAATGTCATACTAAATAATTTCCTCAAAATGAGGGTTCAATCGTTGGATTTAATGAAGAATTGGCGAATATATACGTACCGAAAAAAAAAACACGTTAGAAATATAATATTTAATGATCCTAGAAATAAAATAATATAATTTGTACAGCAATAAAAAAGAAAATAGTAATACTGGTTAATCCCGTTAAATATAATTCAAATAAATTATATTAGTCTCCTCTGAATTGGAGCGCAAAATGAACTGTACGGGAGTCTTTTTCGACGTTGAACAGGCGTTTGATGAAGTCTGGAACACGGGACTGCTGTACAAACTCCGTAAATTCCTACCGTCTATATACTTCCTCATTATCCGTTCATACCTTACTGACCGATATTTCAAAGTAAATAATAATAATGCATGTTCATCCCTCTTTTCTCAGTTTGGTGGTGTTCCTCAAGGGAGCATCCTCGGTTCTATCCTTTCTACAGTTTATACAGCTGCTATCCCAACCCATTCCAACACGGTCATCACCACCTATGCAGATAGCACTTGTATTCTATCTGTTAATAATGAAACTTTAATTGCATCCCAAACCCTCTGATCACATATCACAAACCTTGAACAATGGTGTCATAACTGGAGAATAAAAATACATTCCAATAAATCCCATCAAATTATCTTCACCCTTCAACGAAAAAGCTACAACTTCTTGTCCTACAATATACTTCATAATAAGACCTATTTGGACTTACGGAGTTGAGCTATGGGGCTCCACTAAACCATCGAATTCCTCTCGCATCCAATCCTTACAATCCAAAATCCTTCGTAAAATCCTCAATGCTCCTTACTTTGTTACTAATAAAATTATCCATAAAGATCTTAATGTTCCTTATGTTTCAGATCTGGTCCAATCCAGATACCCATCCTTCCATAATAAACTTCAGAATCATCCCAACCCTCTCGTTTCTAACCTTGCTTCCTCTTCAATTCCTGATAACCCTCCGAGGCGTCTGAAAAGAAGATGGCCCCGTGATCTCCTAATGTAGTCATATCATTAGAGTGCTACCATTGGGTAGTTACTCAGCAAGTGTATTCATGTCATTATATCAATTATGTCCAAATTTACTTGATGTATTTATGTAATACAGTTGTAAATGTCATAAAGAAATAAAAAAAAACAAAAAAAAAACAATATACTTCAATGATATTCCACTTGTTCCTGTTAAACAAATCCGCTACCTAGGACTCCACTTGGATAAACGTCTCACTTGGAATCCACATAGTAGATTGAAACGACAAGAAACTGCTTGACGTTTCCGACTGCTCCAACACTTACTAATCAAACGCTCTAAATTTTCAATTAATTACAAAATACTCATCTACTTAAGACCTAATATGGACATACGGAGTTGAGCTTTGGGGATATACCAAACCATCGAAGTCCTATCGTATCCAATTCTTACAATCCAAAATCCTTCTTAAAATCCTTAATGCCCCATATTTTGTCACAAATAAAACTATTCATAAAGTCCTTAATGCTCCATATGCAGCCGATTTAGCGGGAGCCAGATATATATACTTTCATGATAAACTCCAGTCGCATCTGAATCCATTTGTTTCCAGCCTTGCTTCTTCCTCGATTCCTGATAATCCCCCTAGGCGTCTGAAAAGAAGATGGCCTCGTGATCTTCTCACCTAGAATTAAACAGGAAATGCTCCCACTAGGCAGTATCTCTTCAATTCTGTTCATGTCATGATTTCTAATGTGTGCATTTTTACTAGTAATATTGTTTATACAGTTGTAAATTCATTAGATTAATAAATAAAAAGTAAAAACAAATTATAATTTGTATGTAAAGTTAATACAATAGTAAAATTTATTTAAATATAAATAAATGTGAGTTGGAGGCAGCAGCCGTTTGAAATAAAGTATTTTTGAAGAAATATTGGAGGTTGGAATCCTCTTAACATGGCCGCCTAAAATATGAATATTGGAAGCAGCACTCCGACAGAGGGCACCATCCACTATAAATGTCTAACATTACCTACCAACATCGGACAATATTTATAAGTGCTTTATTTATCGATAGAAAGATTACGGGTAGGGGGCGCCCGGCATAAATCATGAATGAGGCAGGTCAGGTTTCGGTAATGTGAGTCGCTATCGAAAAGGCATTAAAGCCCTCCCTATCTTAAGCCGACGATTTGGCTACACGTCCCCTCACGTGGGGGATGGGTCCTCTTGTTCTAGGGGTGGACGTATCTGTCTAACATCGATTTTTATATTAGGCCACTCATAGGAGATGGTTTTTCGAGTTGGATGAATGATTTAGCAACTGTGAAATATTTGAATAGGTAGAGTATCATTTTGTCAAGAACTATATGGAGCATTGATAGATCTTAGAATTTTGTAACATATTAAAGGATTAATTCGGTAATCATCATAGAGGGAATAAGTGTAACATACAGACAGACAGACACAGAACCAAATTTGATCCTTGATATCTGAAACGTAAAACGTGAGTGGAAATTTTCGATTCTGAGCACAATTTTTTTTTTTAAGCTCTCGCACAAACACAGTGCTAACCTACCTTCGGTAATGAGGAAGCAAAAATTTAAATGACATTCCATAACCTTATCGCTGTAATTTTATCAAATATAACTCGAATTTTGATGATTTTCTCTCATTACAATCGGAAAATTTAGCGCTTGTTGTAACTATATTTGATATAGAAAAAAACTTTGTTCTGGGACTAAAGTCTATATATATATAATGCGTCATTTTTGTGGGCTTGCTGTTTTTTTATTAATATATAACGTCGATGTTCACAAAAACGTTCTTAAAAGTTCAACTGCTTCGAAAATGTACAAAAGCAACTTTTTTCAATAAACCAAAGACATTTTCATTTGAGAAGTTTATCATTTTTAACCGACTAGATAGGGGAGAACCACATCAATTTAATACCAAGTTTAGTGCATAATTACTTATTAAACTACCCTTAGTATTTCCATCTTCTTGACATTAGTCATTTCGGTCTGGAATAACTTCAGGGTTAGTTAGGGGCGAGGATATAGGGCATATTGAGCTGCTTCATATGTAAATTCCAATTTACATATGTTTGCAGATGGCACTCGTTTACCGATTGAAAAGATTCCTTAGGTGTTACCCACTAGCTCGGGGGTGAATGATTCATCAGTTAGAGAAGTTTGCTAATGGTATGCTAATTAACTGCAGAGGGGAGGGATGAGATTTAACACAATCTAAAAGTAGACCCTGGGTAATTAATTACAGTTATTTAAGAGGAGCAGACTGGATGGTTGGATAAGACTGCGGACTCGGAATTCGACTGTGGTTCCATTTCCATCCAGTATTTCTACATGCAACTTACATTTTTTTATATCAATTTAATGACTTTTCCCCTTCTCTTTCTCGACTTTTAGGCTATAAAGGTTTTTTTCGGGTCAGGGGAGCGGACGGGGAAATCATCCAAGAGTTAAAAATCCCCCGTTCTTGGTAACTGGATTTTGACTCATAATCTTCGATTTATCTGGTTGCCGGGCAAGGTGTATGTTACATTGGCTCTCGCATTATGTCGCTGATATGTCAACAGAAGAGGGTGTATAATGTTGTTCGATAATTCATCAGATATTAGCGTTAAACATATTACTTTCAGTATTAAAAAAAAAATCAATACTATACAATTATTTAAAATTTGAAGGGCTTTATAACATACTTGTCAATTTATTTCAAGTATAATTAACTCAATTGTGTTTTATAATAAAAAAAATCTAATTTTAAAACATAGTAACATAAAAAAATGTAACACATTTCATCGTAGTTTTACAAACATAACATCTAAATTAGTTACAAGATTACTTGTATCCAATGCAACATCAACGATTACGAATCATTCCGTAGTTTCGCAGACAACCGGTAAGCGTACGCTCATGTCAAATTTAGTTTGCCAAATTTCTTCCAGTAAATTTTGATATTAATTCCATATGATAGGATTTCAATGCTGTTATTTCGGGTGATCTATTTCCGTCAGGATTAACATATGAGCCTTTTAGCTGACAGAATGAATAACTCAAATTGCAAAAATTTTCATTAAAGTCATTTTAGTGATATTTATAGTTTGAAAGTTTATAATATCTGTACAGACAGTGAGTAAGTTGATTCCATTGGAGGTTGGCACTATATTGCAATGTTCAAATATCAAAGACTGTGAATAAAGGTATAAATTGTCACACTAGATATTTCATAAAAATAAATAATCAAAAATATTGAAATTGGAGTTAGTCAATCTGTCAACTATATTGCTCATAATCAATTAAATTGCATTGACCAATTCGAAAAAAAAGCTTATAACTGGTAAATCGGTAAGGTATTGTTTTCACCAAAACAACGCTAGTCCCCACCTTGTTGGTCACACGCAATAAATGAATTATCTTTGTGCAGGACCTTTTGCCCCACATTACCTATTAATCAGGCCCTGTTCCAAGAACTTGATGTCCAACAGGACATCGAAAATCGCTAAAATAAATCTTTTGATAATGAACCCCAGACATTCCATGAACGTAACACTATTATTCACACAGCAACATCACACAAATAGTTAATAAATTTATGTAGTCATAAATCATTATTTGTGATTTTAAATATTTAAAACGGTATTTCTACAGAAAAAAGGGAACAAGCCAGCTTCAGAGACGTTGAGGAGTTGTTTAGATTTCCCTCTACTCTACAGAAGAAAATCATGGTACAGAATATGCAGGCTCAGAAGATCGGAATATGTCGCGAGACGCCAGCGGCTAGGAAGCGGATATTCTGAAAAAATAATCGATGATGCTATTATTTAATAAAAGATAATTACTTTTTTTTCATTCAATTTTTTTTCTTAAGGCATTACAGACCGTGTAGATATTTTGCCGCCTAAACAAACCTACTCCATCTCAGCCTATCTTGGGCTATTTCTTTCCAATTATCTGCATGCAACTATATCGCATCTTTGTTGATTCGATCTCTCCATTTGCTTTTTGGCCTTTCACTTTTTGGTCTTTTGGGGCATCTCGATATTGGGGCATTCATTGTTGTTTAGAATCTTCCAGATGGATTACACCGATCTACATGTCCCACCCATCTTAACCTCTGTGGTCCCACCCATCTTAACCTCTGTGTTCCCACTCATCTTCATATGATCTCAAATAGCTCCAGTTATCTTGCGGAAGATTTTTCTTTAAAATCTTTCAATACATTTTTCTAGGCCGCTGGTTAGTGTCAAGGTCTCACGTCATACATTTGAACTGAATTTATAATATTACAGTACACCCTTAATTTGAGATTTTTCAGGATTTCGAAACCTTTGAAAGATAGAATATGCATTTGTTACATGCTGGTCAATTTCCTTCCCTTGGTCATTCATTGAGGTTATTTTGGACCGATTTATTTGAATTTGCGGCTTTTGGGAACGATTTCCGATCTAATCTGATCCTAATATTGTTATTATTATTGTGTTGTCCGGAAAATAATGCAGGGTTTTGAGTTTTCTTTAAGATACTCCTCTATATAAAAACTGTTTACGTTTACTGTATTATTCATTTCTATGAATGTCAACATTTTCCAAACGATAATATTTGTTAAGGGAGCGGGGTAGCTCAGTGGTAGGGCACTAATATTCCAACTCTCAAGGTCACAGATTCGGATCCCAGCTCACGGCAGAAAAAATATTTATTCTGTTTCATTACCCATGGGGAGGCCCCCCTGGGGCACACGCTTAATAAGTTGAGCGTGATCTCAGAAAATTCACCTCCTTGCACAACCGTTGACTAAGAAAAAATACTTGCCCTAAATAGTAATGAAACCAAGACCCTTCATTGGTTGTAGTGGAACTGTAAAATGTTTGTTTATCTTTGTAGCATTTTGCTGCCTAGAATTAATTTACTACTTACGTGAAAAAAAATTAATGGATAAAGAGAATTCGAAAATGAGTTTTTGGAGTTTATCAATTCTAAAGACGAGAAATTATATTCCGAGGGAATGGAAAAGTTGCCAACACGTTCGCTGAACATTATTGATTGTAGTTGAAACTATTTCGATTACATAAAATAGTTGTAAATCTTTCTTTTTTCTTTTTAAACCAAAATGATGCATTTTATATGTATATATATTAAAATTTAATTTAATATAGGAAAAGGGAGAAGATAGGAGACTATTATAAACTAGTAGCCGCAGATTGGCTGCTGGGTAGTAGATACCACAAGATACACTAGATTCCACACTGACCCCCACTGACCTATGCTATGGACAGCCTAATCTGCCTCCAGGGAATCTCACCTCTGCCCTGGGTTAGTGATAGGGCTCTGTGGGCTGAATAGGAGCATGTTTGCATCAGGTTGCATGATACAGCAGTTGATTAACGGGATGTATGATGCAACAACTAAGGTCTGGATTTGTATGCAACAAAAAATATTTAAATGTGTCATAGTATGCCTTGAAAACTACGGTAATATGCAATAAATATGCTATTAAAAGTATGACAACATGCCACCAAGAAATAAAAAACAAGTAATAAAAATAAAATAACTAATCATATTTAAAAAAATAAAAATAAATTAATGATATCACTATAATTTTATGGAAACCCACAAGAAGGATTTAATTTTATTAATTTATTTTTTTCAATTTAGTGGTCAATTTTTGATCCATTTACATACATTTTTGATGATGGAGTTATTTTAATAAAAAAATATCTTTTTGTCCTTGTTTTTTATTTATATACTTGTTTAGTGAGTTTCGCTTGTTGGCTAGATAAATCTTTAAAATAATGTTTAAACTTAATAAAATGTACAAGTGGATCATTTGGAAAGTTTTTGAGCTTCATCCAAAACATTACCTGACCGATTTTTTCCAAATTTGGATTTAAAATCAGAGGTCACCTGAGGATGATCCTCCTTCATCGACATTACTATCGGCCTTTTACTTTCAAAATGGCGGCCGAAAAATCTGCGTTGCTATAGACTGTAGCGCTTAATCGAATCTACCGATTTCAATGAAAATTGGCTAAGTCTTCTTCTTGATGCCCTTTAAATTTATATATATAACATACTTCAACGAAAAGAAGTTAGAAAAAAAAGTTACGAGAGATGGTAAAATTAGATTCCGAATAAATCAAAAATTATACTCTTTTTTGAAGGTATTGTGTTGTAATGTTTCAAAGCTATGTAATTTTCTTAAAAAATGAAGGATATTTCATCGAAATCAGAGGACTATTAGTGAAGATATCGCGATTTTTAAATATTTTTGTTATTATTTTCAATAATGAATTGTGATTGAACAAAAAAATAAAAAATTTAACCCCCTCTCAAAATTTGAGGTTTTTATAATGTTTTGAACGAGCTATATATGTATATGTGCAATTTAAATAAGTATATATTAATTTCATACAATAAAAGGCTTAATACCTTGTTATGTGTTTAACCATATTATAATACTCATTTGCTAACATAAATCCGAGATGAATATAATACAGCTTGGTGGCTATCATAGGTGCCGACTATGGGAGAGAGAGGGGCGAGGGGGACGATCACTTCCCCAATAAAATTGTTGAGGGGGCGACAATATCGTTTATGTTAATAATGGTAAGGGTTTCTTAACGAAACAAACACAGACAATAAAGAAACGTTTATTGTGGAAGAACACTACAAATGTAGAAGCCTAAGGAGTATACATTGTTGTGATCACTATCGTCACATCTGACAGTATTGCCAGTAACAGTGTTGTAGGTAGAATATACATTTATGTTATTTGTTATTGTATATTCTACCTACAACACTGTTACTGGCAATACTGTCAAATGTGACGTCAGTGATCACAAGAATATATACTCCTTATAATACATATGGCTTCTATGTTTGTAGTGTTCTTCCACAGTAAACGTTTCTTTATTGTCTGTGTTTGTTTCGTGAAGAAACCCTAACAATTATTAATAACAAATAATACAATAACAAATAACATCAATTAATTAATCCTAACAGTTTCGTCCGATTAATAATTTGAGGCAAACAAGAAATTAAAATCATAATTATAAATAGACAATACACAATAAATAAGCTTCATAAATGAATAAAATGTGCAAACTAAAATTTACTTAGGAAATTCGACTATCTAGCTAGGCAAGGGCCTAGGATAATATATGCAACAATTTTATTGATACCTTAATATTACTTTTATTTAAATTGTCATTTATATTCAAAGATAATAGTATACAGGGTTTCTTGTAAGTAGAGGGAAATATTTAAACAAGTAATAGTAAAAAGGTCATGTAAACAATTGTCCGATTTTCGGCAGAATATTAGGCAAATTAAGTTTTGTGTTTTATTAAGTAAGCCATGGTTTTAGATAAATAAGACACTATAACTTAAACATTAGTTAATATAATTAATTAACAATTGCTTCACTTTAAACTAGATAAAAATTAGAGTTTGTAGTAAGTAGAGTTTGTTATTATTGAACTTAGTTTGTTATTTAACTTTGTTGCTAAACTTATGAGTGACAAAACTAATAGTCCGTGGTTCAGACATGGCGTGACCTCCACCCCCGAAACGTTAAAATAACGAGGTTCTATAGGCCAAACGGCGGAATATTTTTGTAGGCCACTTTTTTTTGTCATAATATTTTCTTACGATTCAAATGGGTATTCAGGAGTTCTTAGCACCCAATTAAATACACAGAGTTTGCCGAGCTCCAAATTGAAAACGCCCCAGTTACGAAAATTTTCGCAAATGAAATATTTGTTGGTAACGATGAGATGAAGATATTTACGAAGTTTCAGGTTGATGTTATTAATATGATACAAAAAGGTCTCTGTACCACAGACTAACAGTTTGAGTTTTTCGAAGTTGATAAAGTCCAAACTCGAGATACATCCCAGGATCGGAGAACCCCCTAAGACAATAGTGAGTGGTTGGAACCGAGTCGAGTGGAGTTCTCGTATTACAGGATAAATTAATTCTGGGCGGAGTGAGCCCTTTAATTATCTTTCGATCTGGTATCGATTGCACGGTGGGTGGGGGGGAGGGTCTCTTATGTAAATCTGCTCCAGTTATTAAGACTCCGCTCCTAGCCAAAAACCAAGCCACTAATTGCTCCTACTCCCACCCCCAATTAAAAAAGTTAATTGGACCCGAGATGTCCCAGCCGCTGCATCAATTTATAACCACGGTCATTCCCGGTTTCCCTTTCATTGCTTCGTCCATGGCCAGGTAATTAATAGGCTTTACGGCCAACTTTGTAATGAGAACGATTTTTCGCGATTCCTGAGTTCGATTATTACCATAAATATATTACTTTGCTAAAGAATAAAGAAAGAAAGAAAAAGAGAGGGTTCCAATAGTACAGTTTTGCGATTTATTGTTACAGTAGGCTTAGAAATATATTGTTCCATTAAGCACACTGAGAGCTTCCAGTATTCGCAAGACCTTAATATTGTAAAATTATTTAAAACATGTTGGAGTTTATACAAATTTTAAGCTGCAGAGAAGTGTCTGTTATATAGAATTCGCACCAAAAGTTGAGACAGAACGATGTCGCTGATTTAAAGTTTTCAAAGAAAAGCTTTCTTAAGTCTCCATTTAGTAGTTGGGGATATTTTTTATTAAAACGCCTCTTTTTATATTTATTAATTATTGTATGTATTATCTTATAAATTATTACCCCTGTGTGTATATATATATAATCTTAATTATCATTTATATTTTATTATATAATCTTTTAGATCCCACATTTTGCCATTTAACACATTACATTATCATTATATTATAATTTGTTATATCATGATACTTTATTGCAATATTAAACTGTTTTTTTTTTGTTTTTTTTTTCGGTT